ACCCATATGACAGGGGATGTCACTCGGCTGACAGATATCGTGGGATGTGAACGAACCGTCGTCGTTGCCAACGGGGCCAGAACTTGCGCGACCAAGATGGGAACGCTGCGCATTACCACAGACAAAGGTGCCACCCTAGTCATGGAAGACGTGTTAGTAATTGACAACATGCCATCGACTCTCCTGTCCGTCACGGCCATGATGCGCAAGGACCCAAGATTCGCCGTCATCATCAATGCAGACGGATGCGTCATCAAGCACGGAACACGAGAGATCGCAACGGCCACCTTGGACCCAACAATGAAAGTATACATCCTGGACCAAGCCGCAATCGAACACTGCAACCACGCTGTCGTCGAACCTCGAAAGAAAGAGACGACTGCTGATGGGTTATCAAAACTGTGGCACCAGAGAGTCGGACACCTACAACTCGCTGCAATCGATCGCTGTACTGTACTCGGACTGGGCACACCCGCCAATCTAAGAGAACCGAGCACGAAGTGTGAGTACTGCGTCAAGAACAAAATCACCAAGATCACTCCCCCGAAGACTCGTACGCGTTCATTCAAGCCTGGAGAGTGCTGGGTTTCGGATACGAAAGGACCTATGCGCACTGCGTCAGTCGGTGGATGCAAGTACTATACCGTATATGTTGACGCCGGCTCGGGCATGAAAGTCGTCCGCTTCGTGCACTCCACCGACTCAGCGACACAACAAAGCAACTGGACGAAGATCATGGCGTGGTCGAAGGCACAGACTGGCCGAAACGTAAAGATTTTCCGCTCCGACGGCGGACCCGAGTACTCATCGAACGAGTTCGGAGACGCACTGGCCAAGTGGGGCATCACACACGAAACGTCTACAGCGACAAATCAGTGGCAAAATGGAATGGCTGAACGTGCCCACCGTTCCATCATGGAGATGGCCATGGCCATGCTGTCACACGCCGGAATGGCCAAGCGCTGGTGGGCCGAAGCCGTGAACACGGCCGTCTTCATCCAAAATCGAGTGCCACACGGCCCAAGCGCCACCACCACGCCGATCCAGGCCCTCACTGGCCACCCCGCTCGCCTGGACAAACTGCGCGTGTTTGGTTGTGTTGCCTACAATTTGATGAATGACCCAGAAAAGAGGGACAAACTCGTACCAAAGGCAACCAAATGCGTCATGATGGGCTACGCCGAGCACCAAAAGGCGTACAAGCTCTACGACCTTGAGCAACAGAAGATGGTCACCAGCGTGAACGTCAAGTTCCACGAACAAGAATTCGTCGGGGAGCGCACCCCTATCGACGAATATCTCATCACGACTGATGATGACGACGAAGAAGAGGACGCACTTACCAACAGAGAGACGCCCACACCACGGCCCACCACTACCCCCATGGCGTCACCACGACAAACCACGGCCCCGCAATCGAAGCCACGCAGCCACTTCAAGGTCCCCCCGAAACCGTTCGCTGGCGATGCGATGGCCACCTACAGAGGTTTCGACATCCACACATCGGAAATTGGGACCCCAAGTAGACCCACACGCACATTAGTACCTTCGCCCGCGCCAAACACCAACCGCATGCCCATGACAATGGACGACTTCAACGCACCAGCGAGCACAGATCACGGAATGACCCTACGAGACAGAACCACCCTCAGAACCCCTTCACGTTACATGGACGGATCTCCCTCAACACTACACACCAGCAACTCAGTGGATCAAGTCCTATGTGACCTGAACGAGGCCACACGTCACGGCGCCAACGCCGCAGTCGAAGACGATCACGTGTCCACGTCCATGATGGTGGATGGGATCGAGTTTGCCTGCTCGGCCCTCCCGACAACCGATGACGTTCCCCAGAGCCACGAGGAGGCAATGAGGTCACCTCAACGAGCCGAATGGACCAAGGCAGAGCAACTTGAGCTCAAGCAGCTCCGCGACGCAGGCACGTGGAAACTGGTCAACCTTCCCCAAGGACGAAAGGCCATCGGGTCCAGATGGACCTACGCAAAGAAGACAAACTCCGACGGTGACGTCGTCCGGTACAAGGCACGTCTAGTGTGCAAAGGGTACAGTCAAATCGAGGGAATCGACTACACAGACACGTACTCACCCGTCGTGAAAATGGCCACAATCCGCGCGTGCGCCGCCATCGTCGTATCGAAGGGATACGTCATCGTCCAGGCCGACGCAGACACAGCATTTGTTCAAGCAACCATGGAGAAAGGCATCCTCCTCTACGTGGACCAACCACCAGGGTACGACGACGGAACGGGCCGCAAGATGCTGCTGATCAAGGCACTGTACGGTCTAAAGCAAGCCGCCCTCGCCTGGTTCGACCACTGCAGGAGGATCATCACCACCGCGGGGTTCAGGCCGAGCCAATTCGACCCATGCCTATACATCAAAGGTTCAGGGGAGAGCATAGAACTGATATGCACCTACGTGGATGATTTTCTCGTCATGACGAAGTCCGTCGCGGCCGCCGACGCAATCCTCGACCGTCTCGAGGCTAAGATGAAACTGAAGCGTCAGGGAAGGGCTAACTACTTCCTCGGAATGAAGATCGTGCACAATGAGAAGAAGGCAACACTCACCATCACCCAAGAAGCCTACGCCAAGAAGGTACTTGAACGATTCGGCATGTCCGACTGCCACGGGTACGCGACCCCCGAAGTGGATGACCGCGAAGACCTGTGGCACGATGAGTCTCAACAGGTAGCAGACCAGACGACCTACCGCTCCATGGTTGGGTCCCTGATGTACCTCATGGTATGTACGCGGCCCGATATCGCACATGCCGTTCAACGACTATCTCGCCACCTACACGACCCAAGAGAACCACATCTTGTCGGCGCAAAACGCCTACTTCGATACGTCAAGGCCACGATCAACCACGGACTCACGTACCACGCAAGCGACTGCAAACTCGTCGGGTACAGCGACGCCAGCTGGGCCAATCGCGACGGACGGCGTTCGACAACTGGGTTCGTGTGTCTCGTCGGCGGCGGCGCCGTGTCATGGAAATCAGCGCGTCAACGCGTCGTGGCCCTGTCGACTTGCGAAGCGAAGTACATCGCATTGGTCGAGCTCGCCAAGGAAGTCGTATGGACGCGCGGAATCCTACAAGAAATGGGGATGGGCCAGAAAAATGCGACGACGACCTACTGTGACAACAAGTCGGCGATTTCAACGGCTGAAGGCATCGGGATGAGCGAGAGAAGCAAGCACATGGACGTGCGACTCCACTACGTCCGCCAGCTCGTCCAAGATCGCACCATCCGGGTGCTCCACGTTGGTACCGCAGACCAGCTCGCAGATGTGCTGACCAAGGTGTCCACCAAAGACGCGATCCAGAAATTCAAGAAAACAACAATGACGACCGTCGAACTTGGGACACT